GGGGCGCATCCCCCGAGACCCGGGAGCGGGGTCGGTTAAAAGGCCCTCGCGCCCCGCCGCCGGGGCAATGGGACAGGGGGCGATGGGCAAGAGGGCAGCCGCCCGGCCAGGGGGGCTAGGAGGCAAGTTGGAGGAGCGGAGGGGGCGGGGGACAGTGAAGTTTGGAGGACGACGAGTGGCCGGAGGGCCGGCCTGGGGAGCGCCGGTCCGGCGCCCCTCTGATGGCCACTGGGGGGGGGGGGGCGATGTGTGGAGCACTTCTCCGGCCGCCCGCCCCGGCCCGGCGTCTGGCGGGGTGCGCGGCGCGCGTCTCGACCGAGCAGTGTGGCATGTCGGTCGGACCTCGGAGGCCCCCCGGCCGCCCCCCCGCCGCCCCCCCCCGGCCCCGCCGGATAGCGTTCGCCCGTATCCGTCGCCGCGAGGGGAACAGTCCCCCGGTCGCCCTCGCCAGGCCGCGGCGGTCTACAGCAGCGGGGCAACAACAACGGCAACGGCAAAAACAACAACAGCAAGCGCGGCAGTAGCCGCAACGGCAGCAGCTGCAGCTCCCCTGGCATCGTGTCTGCGAGGCGCCCGGCCTGTACCGTCGACTAGGCGGATCAGCTGCTTGTCCGAGGGGGAGGGCGAGGGTCGCGACACGGAGGAGCCCGGCCGCCGGAGCCGGAGCTTGACATGTCTGTCCATGTCGGTGTCCTGCCGCGCTCGCCCGCCTGGCCGGCCGGGCTCCTGCGTGTGGGGGGGGGGGGGGAGGGCGGCAGCGTGGCCTCCCTGCCCCTTCTGCTTCCCAGGCCCCCGGCCCCGACTGCCCGTTCAAGGATGGTCATCTGCCGAGGGTGCCCCTCCGGCCCTGGCCAAGCCCCCACGAGGTCCTTTTCCCGCTTGCATGACCGTTCCCGGCCCTGTTGTCGCGGGGGTGTGCTGCCTGCAATGTGGTGCGCTTGCATGCTCGTGCTTCCCCATCCTCGCGCCGGGCCTGTCCTGTGGAATTTTCTCCCGGCCGGCCCCCGGCCCCGGTCCCCCGGTTCCCGGTCGCCATGCCCTCGCTGCTTCGAGCCGGCCCAGCCGCCCGACCATGGCCGTGGGACCTCGCCCGCTTTCTGGACAGTTCCCCTGGCCACGGCGCCGATCGGCGCGCCACGGCCACCCCCCCCCCGTCCCGCCCCCCCGCCCCTCGGGCCGTCGCCCAGTCGTGCCGCCTCCCGCCCTCGCCCCTGGGTTTTCGGAAGGAGGGTGGCACGGCGATCGGGTCGGTGATATTGCCCCCCCGGGAACAAAGAGTCGGAGGGTTTGCCTTGCCCCCGGGCCTTTTGACCTCCGGCGTGCGTGGCCATTGGCACGGGCGCGCCTCGGTTCGCAAGCGGACTCCCCCCCCACCACGACACACACACACACACAGACGGCCCTCCCAGGCCGAGCCGCGAAACGTACGTGACGGGGGACTCTGTCGGGTGCGCAGAGACCCGCGCCGTTCCCGGCGCCCCGCCCCCGAGAGGGAGGGGTGCCCCGTGCTATGTTGCTCTTTGATCGGGGCATGCTCCTTCCGCCGGGGCCGATGATGCCCCGCGCCCCCGCGCCCCCGCGTTCTCCCTTGTTTCCCCTTCTGTCCCCCCGTTACCCGAGGCATCTCGCACAGGATTTTGACCAGTCTCCCATGTCCCGGCGCCCGTGTGCGCCCCGCGGCGCTCCCTCAGCCGCTGGGGTAGAGCTACCAACTCTCTTGGTCCGCACCCCGGGAGGGACCAAGGGTCGGTCTTAATTTTCCGACGGCCATGTTCACGCGGGACTAATGGCGGTGGCAGGTCCGCGCCTTGGCCTGGGGGCGTTCCCCCATCAGTCGCCCCGGCAGGCGCGCGCCCGCACGCGCACACACACACACACACACACACACACACACACACACACACACACACACGCACGACCGCGCAAGCACCACGCCGCCCGGTGCTATCGCCCTTGGATCCCTTCGGCCCCACCTGCTCCAAGCTTCGTCTGCCCGAGAATAGATGGCCGACTTGCCAGCGTAGGGCCCGTGTCTGTGAGCGCAGTATATGCCCCGTCGGCCCACAGCCCTCCACCCCGCCCCTGTCCAGATGACCTTGATGCGCCAACACGCTGGCTGCTAATGCCCTGCGCACGCTTCCCCTCGCACGCCGGTTGACACACGCGCACAGCCATTCACCCCCTCCCCCGCTTACCCATCCACATGCTCAGCAACGCGAGCAGAAGCTCCGCCAGGACAAGCAGCATCGGATCTGAAGTTCGAGCCTGGGGGCCGCCCAGGAACGGTGTATTGTGGGGTAGCACATCGGGCGAGACCGTCCGCCCGCTGCTTCACGCGGCACCCCGGCAGCCGGGAGCCGGGCAGCTCTCTTTCTTTCTTCCAACTGTCGGCCAGAAAGCCAAAGAGGCTCACAATGGTGCCCTAGCGCCGCTTGAGCTTCCCAACAATCGTGAACACCGTGCTGGTGAGGAGCCACATCAGCAGGACATACGCCCCGAGAACCAGCCAGTTGCGGAGCTCATGGTCCTCTGCCCCGGGGAAAAGCATTGTCAGGTAGGCGTTGCCGCTTGGGAACCGGCAGAAGCCAGGCTGCAGGACATCCTCAAAGCCCGGGCGCGGGGTGCAAGTCAAATCCAGGTCCTGATACTCGCTGACAAACATCAGCTGGCTGGCGTAAAAGTGGGGTGCTGCATACTTCAGCCCCTTGCCGATCCATGATGGGGCCGTCAGCGGGGAGCGCAGGATGCCGGAGCCCAGCAGCAGCGATGAGGAAAGCAGTAGCGACGAAGTGTTGTTGGCGGCCGTCTGGTCATCGAGCAGGGCAATCTAGTGTGCATGGGCCGGGTCGGCAATCATACGTCGGCAAAGAAAAAAAAAAAAAGAAGAACCCCGCGCGGACACCGGAGTCGAGACGTGTACGAGTCACCAAGGGGGTTAGCACCGGGGGGAGGGGGGGGGGCATGCGAGCGAGGAGGCGGGAAAGGGCGAGCGAGGTCCCTCCGAGGCACGGGTCGACGCCTCGCCCCCTCCTGAGAGTGAAGGAGGCCACAACGCACGGTCACCACGCCCAGCAGCTCGCCAACCATGTAGAGCAGGATGCTCGTCCCGAAGAGGGTGAAGAACCGGACCCAGCCGGTCTGCAGGCCGAAGGGGTAAATGGTGATGGCGGTGAAAAGGAGCGAGGCCAATATCCCCAGCGGCAGGGCCACCAGGAAGTAAGCCGACACCAGCTCGAAGCCGGAGTACCGGGCGTCGCGCGAGTCCGAGCGGGTGAAAAGCTTCCGGTGCTCCGGGAACTGGGCGATGGCATTCATCATGCCCATGACCGGCGACACGGACAGCGCCTCGAACAGGAGCCCGGTGCGGTTCTGCACCGAGATCTGATCGTTGCCAACATTTTGCATGAACAGCAGCATGAGGATGCCCACAAAGGGGAGCATGTAAATTCGATCGAGGACATCCATGCTGCAGGGGACAATCGGTCAGGCAATCCGGCCAGTGCAAGGCCATCCAGCATGGCGGGCAACATGGGAAACGCACGGGCTTCGGGCCAGGTTCCGAGCAATGCGTGCAAGGAGAACGCTGAAGGAGGAGAAAGGACGGAGGAGCCTGGATGGCGAGAGCAGCAGGGGTGTGTGTGTGTGGGGAGGGGGGGCGGGAGAAGGCAAAGGACATCAAACACTGGGTCAGCACATGCTCTCCGGGGCAAGTGCATTGGCCGCCCTTCTAGCCCCGGTGGCCGAATGGAAAGAGGAGTCAAAAAAAAGCAACAACGAACTTGCTATCCGGATAGGCGACATCCAGGTCGGAGCTCGGTGCCAGCGCGGGGCTCGATCCGGCCACCGCGATCTCACGCTCCAGGGCCGCCTTGGAGTCGGAGGCGTCATATGCTGCCAGGAGGTAGAGCAGGCGAGACTCGGCATCCGCCATGCGCTTGAGGGAGCGCTTGTCGACGGCGATCGTGTCAACTGTATCGGGAGCGAACGGCAAACGAAGCAGAGCGGGGGAGCATCAGAGGCACGACCGGGGGGGGGGGGAAGGAGGAAAGAAGAAGAAGATGCATGTGCGGTGGGCCTGATGAAAATGCAAACAAACAAACAGAAAGCCGAGAAGGGGCGGAGAGCAAAGGAACGGGCCGGATGCCGAGCCTTGGTGCCTGGCCGGACGCACTGTAGAAGTCCAGCGGGTTTTCGTAGAGCCCACAGGGGAAGCCAGCACGGGTGAAGTGATCGATGAGCCCGGCCCGATGGCCGAAAAAGACCGCCCGTCCCTGGGACATGAGAAGGACCTTGTCCAGGAGGGCAAAAATGTCCGACCGGGGCTGGTGCACGGTGAAGATGATGGTCTTCTGATGGCGCTGTGCCAGGGCCCGCAGCGTGGCCACAATGGTATTGGCCGTGAAGGAGTCCAGGCCGGTGGTCGGCTCATCGAGGAAGAGGACCGCCGGGTCGCCGACCAGCTGCACGCCAATCGACACGCGCCGGCGCTCGCCGCCGGACAGCCCGCGAACCGAGATGGCTTCGATGCCCGACCCACCGACCCGGCTGTCGGCCACATTCCGCAGCCCCAGCAGGTTGATGGTCTCCTGCACTCGGGCCTCAATGCGATCCCGGGGGATCGAGGTGGCCGCGCGCAAGCGCGCCGCATAGGTCAAAACCTCTCGCACGGTCAAGTACTTCAGGTGATGGTCATCCTGCAGGACATAGCCTGTTTGGCCGGCAAGGGGGGGAGCCCGGTTAGATGGCCATAGCGGCTCGCCCGGGGGCGGGGGCGGGGGGGGGGGGGGGGG